TAGCGTTAAAATCCCCGACCAGTAGAATATTTTCACAATCAGAGTGCATATAGATTTGAGTTAAAAGATGCGCTAAGAAACTCTGAGCTTCGCGCCCTCGTGATGAATTTTCTGCTGGCAAGTAACATGAATACAATATGAATTCTGAGTCTTTTGACGAGTTCTCGAATTTGACACCAAGAATTCCCTCGAAAGATTTATCGATTACAGATACGTTAAAGTATTTCAACAGCCAATTACTAAGCAATATACCAACCCCACCTGACGCTTTTGGCGCATTACGATGGATATTTGTTCTGTTTAAAACCAAGCCACGTATACCCTGTTACACTTATTTCATCTTGACCTGCTAAATGTGTCTCACTAATTGCTATTATGTCACATTCAATGCTTTTTAAAATGTTTGACCTTAATTGACAATTTTCTCTAGTCTATCCAGCAACATTCAAATGACCAATTTTAATAGACACAATAGGTCGGGCGCCTTCCTATTCACCATAACCTCGTTGTGTTTGCTTATCGCGTTTCTTGATCCGTCCAGAGGCGTCAACTCTATAAGCACGTCCATCCGGTAGGTTCCTCAATACTGCCCTCGCGTTCATTTCGATGAGACGATCTACTCGGGATTTACTACTTTTGATAAACACATTCTTATACTTCTCGGTTTGTCTCAGTTTCATTTTATTTCGAAGAACATTAACTTTTTCATCAGTGTTTTTGGAAACTTATTTTCACGATACCAGGTTTGTCATTGAACCTTCAAGGCAAACGAGTCGCGGCACGAAACCTTACACTATCGGCAACTGAATCACCTAAAGCCAAAATCAAATCATTTGCCTTTTCCATCAAATCTTCACCGTCGGAAAACGGAATGTCACTTACAGTTACTGTGATGTCAGTGTTATCCAGCGGATTGTATTTCCGACCCGGTCGATTTTCATGTACTGCAGTACCGTTTTCGTTTAGTACAGGATTTTGTTGTTCTACGTCGTCTAGACTCCTTTGTATTGATTGAACAGTAGTCAGTAGTTGGTCAGTACGTGTAGTTTCATGGCCTATATCAATCGACAATTCATCTCGTAGCGCTCTCATCTTACTATCAACACTAGCCATCAAATCAGTTCTTAGTTTATCTAGTTTAGATTCAAACATTCTTGACTAGCTTTCACGTCTTTTACAGCCCCTATCAATGTTTCTAGTTTACCACAAACGTCTAGGTTAAGGTTAAGAATGGGGTTTACTGAAGACATGTTTTGCTGGTTATTGTCAGTTTCTTGTTTATAGTCTGTAGGGTTATGAGTATCTACTTTGTTTACTTCACCAAATACACTAGTGTTAAATTCATCAGAGTTATATAAAACAGAGTGGGTTTGATTCAGAATAGAACTCACCGAATCATTTGTCCGGGAATATTTTGCCTTGTTTACATTATCGTGTGATTCACTACCACTGCTGTTACTAGAATTTCCTTTCTTCCTTTTTGTGTTCTGATTACTAACAAGTACTTTGATGCTTTTTTGGCATGATCCATCACATTGGCACGTAATAAGTGTGTCTATGAACAACTAGCAATCTTCTTTAGATCATTTATTTCTGATTTTTTCACAAACATTTTAGCTCCGAAAAAATATGTGACCATTTTGTTTCAAATCACGTGACCTATATATATATATTTAGTTATTGTGGACAATGCAGTAACTGAACAATTGGTGTTACTAGTGATTGTGGACAATGCCATAACTGAACAATTTGTCTGAACTTTTAAGAATTAATAGATAGTTTGTGAACTATTAAGAATGACGTGACTGAACCAATTTGACCGAACTATTGGGTAAGATATGGCTAAATCTATAAGACCAAGCTACTTAGTATACAATTCTCATCAACGCTCGACTTACAAAATGGAGTGAAAACCATGGTATGCTTACAGATGCCCAGTTTGGCTTCCGACCTGGTTATGGTATCACTGACGCCATCTTAGCTCTCAATTCTTTAATTCAAAATCTTTGAGATCTGGTAAAAGGTTTTATTGTTGTTTCATAGACTATAAAAAGGCTTTTGATGGTGTCACACATATGAAATTATCGTTACGACTTATTAGATTAGGTGGAACTGGTAAATTATTAAATGTATTAAAATCTATTTATTCAAAACTTAAATGTTGTGTAAAATTTGATGGTAGTTTCTCAAATTTTTTTAATAGTAATGTTGGATTAATGCAGGGGAAATCATTATATCCCCATTTTTATATTCATTGTACGTAAATGACATGGAAATAGAACTTATTAGTCAAGGATGTCAACCTTATGAGTTAAAAATGTTGAACTTGTATTTACTTATGTATGCAGATGACACAGTATTGTTCAGTGAAAATATTGAAGATTTACAAAAGATGATTAATTGTTTAAATGACTATTCTGATAAGTACAACTTATTTATCAATTGTTTAAAAACAAAAATTGTTGTATTCAGAAACAGAGGTCAAGTTAAAGCAAATGAGAGATGGTATTTAAATGGAAATTCAATAGATATATGTGATGAATTTGTATATCTGGGTATTTTATTTAGATATAATGGTAATTTCACATATACCCAAAAATCATTTGCAAACCAAGGTCGTAAAGCATTATTTAGGTTGTATAGTAAGTTGCAGGATGACTGTGTTTTAATTTTGAAACTATGATGTCATTGTTTGACACGCATGTAGCAAGTATTTTGAATTATAGTTGTGAAGTTTGGGGAAATCACAAATGTGATGATATCGAACAAGTTCAAATGAAATTCTTAAAACGTATTTTAAAGGCGAAAGCATCTATTGTTAATTATATGGTTTATTGTGAGTTGGGACGATACCCTATGTTTATAGAAAGATATTGTCGAATGTTAAAATACTGGTTTAAGTTAATATGTAATGCTGTTATGAAGAAATGCTTGAGGGATGTATTAAAAAACCTAACGACAAATATAACTGGGCCTGTCGAATTAGAGACATATTATACATATTATGTATGGGTTTCCAGGATGTATGGTTACATCAGGGTGTTAAAAATGTGGATTTGTTTTTTAATGAATTTAAAGATAGAGTAAAGGGTAGTTTTCATAGTGAAATAAACTCATTTTTGAAGATTCGCCACAATGTATGTTGTATAGATATGTATTTGACCCAAACATGTTACAATTTTATTTAAATCATGCTGTAAATTATATTAATAAACCATTTATTTGTAGATACCTCATATCTGCTCATTGTTTGAATATAGAAACTGGTAGATTTTATAATATTGAGAGACATCTGAGACTTTGTAATATGTGTGATAAACATGTAATTGAAGATGAATATCATTTTATTTTAGTATGTGAAAAGTATAATGAACTTCGAAAGAAATTTATTAAACTATATTATTGGAGAAAACCTTCGAATTTTAAACTCGTATAACTGCTATCTGTTCATAATGTAAAGGATCTTAACAATTTAGGGAAGTATTTATTCCTTGCCGAGAAGGCACGTAATTAAATTCATTTATAAATGCTTAATATATGTTATATTTTATCATACTCTGTTGTACTGTTATATGGGTATACTTACTTATATGATTATTTGACTGATGGTTTAAATGTATTATATATATTTCACTGATGTAATTGAATATTTGTAATATTTACATTCTATAAGTTGTATTACTTACGAATAAAAGATTATTATTAGTAGGATGTGACTGAACCAATTAGTTCGAACTATTAAGAATAATCTGACTGAACCAATTAGACCGAACTAACAAGTATGATCTGACTGAATCAATTAGACAAACTATTAAGAATGAAGAAACTTTATCATGTGTGAACTGTTGAGAAAGTTGTCACTCATTTTGAACTAATGAAATATGGTGAGTTCTTTAATGGGTGACTTTTGAGATTGTACTGTTTAAAATATCTGTAAACTGTCGCAAACGTAGTTTTTGGACAATTTTTGTAACTTAATGAGATTGTGGAGACGGAACAAATTGTGAACTTTTCTGAATACTATAACTAGTAATTTGTATAATATTTAGATCAGCATAGTGTGGCTCTACACTATTTAGATTGGAATAGCGTGACTGTACACTATTTGAATTAGAATAGGGTGACTGTACACTATTTAGATTAGAATAGGGTGACTGTACACTATTTAGATTAGAATAGGGTGACTGTACACTATTTAGATTAGAATAGCGTGACTACACTATTTAAGTTATAATAGGGTGACTGTACACTATTTAGATAAGAAAAGGGTGACTATACACTATTCAGATTTGACTAGAGCGACTCTACACTATTTAGATTAGAATAGGGTGACTCTACACTATTTAGATTAGAATAGGATGACTGTACACTATTTCGATTAGAATAGGGTGAATGTACACTGTTTAGATTAGAATAGGGTGACTGTAAAACATTTAGATTAAAATAGGGTGAAAAAGAGAGGCGAAAGATACCAGAGGGACATTCAAAGTCGAAAATAAACTGACAACGCCATGGCTAAAAAGAAAAAGACAAAATAATAGTACACAAAACACAACATAGAAAACTAAAGACTGAGCAACACGAACCCCACCAAAAACTGGGGGTGATCTCAGGTGTTCTGGAAGGGTATGACTGTACACTATTTAGATTAGAATATGGTGACTGTACACTATTTAGATTAGAATAGCGTGACTTTTCACTATTTAGATTAGAATAGCGTGACTGTACACTAATAAGATTAGAATAGCGTGACTACACTATAATTAAGATTAGAATAGGGTGACTGTACGTGTAAACTATTTAGATTAGAATAGAATGACTATACACTATTTAGATTAGAATAGGGTGACTGAACACTATTTAGATCAGAAAAGGGTGACTGTACACTATTTAGATTAGAATAGGGTGACTGTGCACTATTAAGATTAGAATAAGGTATAACTATAATTTTTGTAATCGTTTGAAAATGTAGTGAGTATCGAAAAATGTTTAAATTACAGGCAATCACAAGGATGAAGTCAGATTTCCAGAGAGAGAAAGAACAGAAAACAGAAGGAGTTACACAAACTGATGATTTATCTGTAGAATTTATGAAATTAGATCTGAGTTCCCTTAAATCGACTAAAGAATTTGTAGATCAATTTACTGAGTCTGGACGGCCACTCAACACACTGATTTGCAATGCAGGAATTGCTTTTCATCCACTAGGTATTTTTAATACTAAAATTTAAAGAACACAATTATACCCAAAATGAAAAATGCGTTTAAACTACACCACAAAATTTGTTCACCAAAGTCTCATTTCAGGTATAATCATAACATTGCTTCCGTTCTTTTTAGGTTGGACTTAATCTCCTAAGACTGAAACCTTAAGTCTCGTTCAATCTATTATCAACCGCCAAATAAAAAAAGCAATTTTTTTTCTTTATAAGAGATCTTATATACTTTTATGTGATATCTTACATCATTAAAAAGATATCTGATAAAAGTTGAAGATGTGTTATAACGTTTGTATATAAGATATATTGAACGTTGAATAAATATAAATACGGCCTGTCATACATCCCCGAAAACTGAAAAATACATAGTACACCGCACCAATGGAACATTACACGGATTACAGCTGTGCATAACGAGAGGTCAATTATTTTTTTAGAGGTAATATAGTATGAGATTTTCTTAATGATACTCTCAAACAAAATAAAAATTCCAGATCATAAAAGTCAACATGGATTAAATGAGATCATACGCAAACGATCTACACGCATACACTCGGTCTGGATTTACTCTACCCATTGACTAAGTTATAATTATTTTTAGCATTTACCTTGATGACAATTGTTAAATATGCTCAATAAGCATGTTTATTTTTTTGAGTTTATGAATTGTGCAAAAATGTCCTGAAAACATCATATTTTTTTAGAAAGATATATTAAAAAAGTTCAAACGATATATGATAATTCGGACCACTATCAGGTATTCAGTTTGTAGCTTATCGTTTTTATTTTCTTGCATCCTTTAACAAAATTGTGAGTTTAGTTAAAGACTTACTTGAAATGTATAAAACTTTACTTCCAGAATACACAGAGGATGGAAATGAAACCATGTTTCAGGTAAGACATGTATGTGTGTGTATCCATAGAATTCTTGATTCGGAAGTTTGAAGTACCAATTTCAATTTGCTGTCGGTCCTATTTGGTTTTCGTTAATTGTTTTGTCATAAATCAGGCCGTTGGTATTTTTTTCGTTTGAACTGTTTCATGTTTTGTCATGTCGTGGCTTTTATAGCTGACTATACGGTATGGGTTTTGCTCATTGTTGAAGGCCATACGGTGACCTATAGTTGCTTAAATCCGCTTCATTTGGACTCTGTTGAATAGTTGCTTCCTTGGCAATCATACCACATATCCTTATTTTACACTATTCATAACATCCGAAATCCCATAAAGTTGTGAAATGTTTATTTTGTTAGGAGTAAAAAGATACCATGAGAACAATAAAAATCTCAAAAGAAAAATGACGAGGACAGTGCAGAGACAAATTCAAACAGAAACTGCATCAACCAGTGTCTGAAAACTACAAACGAGTACTTATCATCCTGTATTTTGTCAAAACAATCCAAATTGTATGTATTAATAAAAAAGAAAGGATATGGGGGATAAAGAAACAGGGCTTTTATCTATTTTTTAACTTTGTTTTTATTCTCAGGTAAATTATTTAAGCCATCTTTTGTTAACACTCCATTTGTTGCCAATAATGAGGCGATCTGGTGATGATAACAGGGTAATACTTGTAAGCAGTCATGGACATAATAACCACTCCACTCCATTTAGTGTGGATAAAATACAAGGGAAGCAACACAACGCTGATAACTTTCCAAGATTCAAATACTATGGAAACTCGAAATTATATCAGGTAAGACATCTTTTTAATAAAATTTATATTTGTTATTTTAATTGTGTAATTTTGCTAAAACAACTCCCGTAACTTAGGGTTTAAACATCCCTATGCAAACGTAACTACAGGCGATTATTCTGTTTAGGTCCTATCCTGTGTTTTGTAGATTCGACAACGCACTATATTATGAACCGAATGTGTGGTGAATATTAGGCTAGGAAGATTCTATAACATTCTATAGTATGAACCGAATGTGTGGTGAATCTAAGGCTAGGAAGATTCTACAACATTCTATAGTATGAACCGAATGTGTGGTGAATATTAGGCTAGGAAGATTCTACAACATTCTATAGTATGAACCGAATGTGTGGTGAATATTAGGCTAGGAAGATTCTATAACATTCTATAGTATGAACCGAATGTGTGGTGAATATTAGGCTAGGAAGATTCTTCAACATTCTATAGTATGAACCGAATGTGTGGTGAATATTAGGCTAGGAAGATTCTACAACATTCTATAGTATGAACCGAATGTGTGGTGAATCTAAGGCTAGGAAGATTCTACAACATTCTATAGTATGAACCGAATGTGTGGTGAATCTAAGGCTAGGAAGATTCTATAACATTCTATAGTATGAACCGAATGTGTGGTGAATCTAAGGCTAGGAAGATTCTATAACATTCTATAGTATGAACCGAATGTGTGGTGAATATTAGGCTAGGAAGATTCTATAACATTCTATAGTATGAACCGAATGTGTGGTGAATCTAAGGCTAGGAAGATTCTACAACACACTATAGTATGAACCGAATGTGCGGTGAATCTAAGGCTAGGAAGATTCTTCAACATTTTATAGTATGAACCGAATGTGTGGTGAATATTAGGCTAGGAAGATTCTACAACATTTTATAGTATGAACCGTATGTGTGGTGAATCTAAGGCTAGGAAGATTCTATAACATTCTATAGTATGAACCGAATGTGTGGTGAATATTAGGCTAGGAAGATTCTATAACATTCTATAGTATGAACCGAATGTGTGGTGAATATTAGGCTAGGAAGATTCTATAACATTCTATAGTATGAACCGAATGTGTGGTGAATATTAGGCTAGGAAGATTCTATAACATTCTATAGTATGAACCGAATGTGTGGTGAATATTAGGCTAGGACGATTCTATAACATTCTATTGTATGAACCGAATGTGTGGTGAATCTAAGGCTAGGAAGATTCTACAACATTCTATAGTATGAACCGAATGTGTGGTGAATCTAAGGCTAGGAAGATTCTACAACATTCTATAGTATGAACCGAATGTGCGGTGAATCTAAGGCTAGGAAGATTCTTCAACATTTTATAGTATGAACCGAATGTGTGGTGAATCTAAGGCTAGGAAGATTCTATAACATTCTATAGTATGAACCGAATGTGCGGTGAATCTAAGGCTAGGAAGATTCTACAACATTTTATAGTATGAACCGAATGTGTGGTGAATATTAGACTAGGAAGATTCTATAACATTCTATAGTATGAACCGAATGTGTGGTGAATCTAAGGCTAGGAAGATTCTACAACACACTATAGTATGAACCGCATGTGTGGTGAATCTAAGGCTAGGAAGATTCTATAACATTCTATAGTATGAACCGAATGTGTGGTGAATCTAAGGCTAGGAAGATTCTACAACATTCTATAGTATGAACCGAATGTGTGGTGAATATTAGGCTAGGAAGATTCTATAACATTCTATAGTATGAACCGAATGTGTGGTGAATCTAAGGCTAGGAAGATTCTACAACATTCTATAGTATGAACCGAATGTGTGGTGAATATTAGGCTAGGACGATTCTATAACATTCTATTGTATGAACCGAATGTGTGGTGAATCTAAGGCTAGGAAGATTCTACAACATTCTATAGTATGAACCGAATGTGTGGTGAATCTAAGGCTAGGAAGATTCTATAACATTCTATAGTATGAACCGAATGTGTGGTGAATATTAGGCTAGGAAGATTCTATAACATTCTATAGTATGAACCGAATGTGTGGTGAATCTAAGGCTAGGAAGATTCTATAACATTCTATAGTATGAACCGAATGTGTGGTGAATATTAGGCTAGGAAGATTCTATTACATTCTATAGTATGAACCGAATATGTGGTGAATCTAAGGCTAGGAAGATTCTATAACATTCTATAGTATGAACCGAATGTGTGGTGAATCTAAGGCTAGGAAGATTCTACAACATTCTATAGTATGAACCGAATGTGTGGTGAATCTAAGGCTAGGAAGATTCTACAACATTCTATAGTATGACCTGAATGTGTGGTGAATCTAAGGCTAGGAAGATTCTACAACATTCTATAGTATGAACCGAATGTGTGGTGAATCTAAGGCTAGGAAGATTCTACAACATTCTATAGTATGAACCGAATGTGTGGTGAATATTAGGCTAGGAAGATTCTACAACATTCTATAGTATGAACCGAATGTGTGGTGAATCTAAGGCTAGGAAGATTCTATAACATTCTATAGTATGAACCGAATGTGTGGTGAATCTAAGGCTAGGAAGATTCTACAACATTCTATAGTATGAACCGAATGTGTGGTGAATATAAGGCTAGGAAGATTCTACAACATTCTATAGTATGAACCGAATGTGTGGTGAATCTAAGGCTAGGAAGATTCTACAACATTCTATAGTATGAACCGAATGTGTGGTGAATCTAAGGCTAGGAAGATTCTACAACATTCTATAGTATGAACCGAATGTGTGGTGAATCTAAGGCTAGGAAGATTCTATAACATTCTATAGTATGAACCGAATGTGTGGTGAATCTAAGGCTAGGAAGATTCTATAACATTCTATAGTATGAACCGAATGTGTGGTGAATATTAGGCTAGGAAGATTCTATAACATTCTATAGTATGAACCGAATGTGTGGTGAATCTAAGGCTAGGAAGATTCTACAACACACTATAGTATGAACCGCATGTGTGGTGAATCTAAGGCTAGGAAGATTCTATAACATTCTATAGTATGAACCGAATGTGTGGTGAATCTAAGGCTAGGAAGATTCTACAACATTCTATAGTATGAACCGAATGTGTGGTGAATATTAGGCTAGGAAGATTCTATAACATTCTACAGTATGAACCGAATGTGTGGTGAATCTAAGGCTAGGAAGATTCTACAACATTCTATAGTATGAACCGAATGTGTGGTGAATATTAGGCTAGGAAGATTCTATAACATTCTATAGTATGAACCGAATGTGTGGTGAATCTAAGGCTAGGAAGATTCTACAACATTCTATAGTATGAACCGAATGTGTGGTGAATCTAAGGCTAGGAAGATTCTATAACATTCTATAGTATGAACCGAATGTGTGGTGAATCTAAGGCTAGGAAGATTCTACAACATTCTATAGTATGAACCGAATGTGTGGTGAATATTAGGCTAGGAAGATTCTATAACATTCTATAGTATGAACCGAATGTGTGGTGAATCTAAGGCTAGGAAGATTCTACAACATTCTATAGTATGAACCGAATGTGTGGTGAATCTAAGGCTAGGAAGATTCTACAACATTCTATAGTATGAACCGAATGTGTGGTGAATATTAGGCTAGGAAGATTCTACAACATTCTATAGTATGAACCGAATGTGTGGTGAATATTAGGCTAGGAAGATTCTACAACATTCTATAGTATGAACCGAATGTGTGGTGAATCTAAGGCTAGGAAGATTCTACAACATTCTATAGTATGAACCGAATGTGTGGTGAATCTAAGGCTAGGAAGATTCTATAACATTCTATAGTATGAACCGAATGTTTGGTGAATCTAAGGCTAGGAAGATTCTTCAACATTCTATAGTATGAACCGAATGTGTGGTGAATCTAAGGCTAGGAAGATTCTATAACATTCTATAGTATGAACCGAATGTGTGGTGAATATTAGGCTAGGAAGATTCTACAACATTCTATAGTATGAACCGAATGTGTGGTGAATCTAAGGCTAGGAAGATTCTACAACATTCTATAGTATGAACCGAATTTGTGGTGAATATTAGGCTAGGAAGATTCTACAACATTCTATAGTATGAACCGAATGTGTGGTGAATATTAGGCTAGGAAGATTCTATAACATTCTATAGTATGAACCGAATGTGTGGTGAATATTAGGCTAGGAAGATTCTATAACATTCTATAGTATGAACCGAATGTGTGGTGAATCTAAGGCTAGGAAGATTCTACAACATTCTATAGTATGAACCGAATGTGTGGTGAATATAAGGCTAGGAAGATTCTACAACATTCTATAGTATGAACCGAATGTGTGGTGAATCTAAGGCTAGGAAGATTCTACAACATTCTATAGTATGAACCGAATGTGTGGTGAATCTAAGGCTAGGAAGATTCTATAACATTCTATAGTATGAACCGAATGTGTGGTGAATCTAAGGCTAGGAAGATTCTATAACATTCTATAGTATGAACCGAATGTGTGGTGAATATTAGGCTAGGAAGATTCTATAACATTCTATAGTATGAACCGAATGTGTGGTGAATCTAAGGCTAGGAAGATTCTACAACACACTATAGTATGAACCGCATGTGTGGTGAATCTAAGGCTAGGAAGATTCTATAACATTCTATAGTATGAACCGAATGTGTGGTGAATCTAAGGCTAGGAAGATTCTACAACATTCTATAGTATGAACCGAATGTGTGGTGAATATTAGGCTAGGAAGATTCTATAACATTCTATAGTATGAACCGAATGTGTGGTGAATCTAAGGCTAGGAAGATTCTACAACATTCTATAGTATGAACCGAATGTGTGGTGAATATTAGGCTAGGAAGATTCTATAACATTCTATAGTATGAACCGAATGTGTGGTGAATCTAAGGCTAGGAAGATTCTACAACATTCTATAGTATGAACCGAATGTGTGGTGAATCTAAGGCTAGGAAGATTCTATAACATTCTATAGTATGAACCGAATGTGTG